GTGTATATGACGTCAGGGCCTACTCTTTTTTCAAGAAGCCCGACTTTTCCAGCAGACGGAATGCAGCGCAGGCTTTCTTCTACGAAGTGACGACGACAACGCGAGCACAGTCCAATTTTGTCAGCTCCATCGCCAACTTGCTTTTCGCACATCAAAAGATCAAGGCACCTGACCTATGTTTACACCCTGGCCTGTGGTGGGGTGTAGAGGATCTCGTGACGTCATCGGCTACGGTATCTTGTGACGTTATTGTATACACACCATGAACGACAGAGCGGCTCCCTGTTTCATTTTCTGTTTTGACTCCTCATTTTTTCCTTAATTAAAATTATTGACAGGTGCCTGGGCAAAATGAACCATCCTAACTTTTTCAGGTCTGTCAATGCTATTAGAAAACAGCATTATCTAAGTATGGAACAAACTTCACCAAAGTTCCCCTTTAACTGCTGGCCATGACCGGTGTTGGGCGTGGGCGCTGAGGGACCCAGCCAGAATTTGACGTGGACTGACCGATGAGGCTCATACGATACCCTCTGCCACACTTTTTAGCCTATAAACGGTAATTTTCGTAAGTAGGGCTACTCAAGTGATCAAATACTTAACGTTAGGAAGAAAATAGAAATCATTTGAATTCCGAAACAAAAATAATCACACACTTTTCCCTTATTCTAGCTCTTTTTTACTTCCATTTAACGAGGAAGGACCAGCTTTTTGTTTTGTTACAATTAAAGTATGTGACCATTTTGTTAGAACTGGCAGCTTGCAGTGAAATAACTTTTTCTTACAGAGACAGAGAGAGCATGCCGGTTAAGATTCACTAATGTTTGCCGTATGGGCTCTATCTTATGCTCATTCATCGATGAATTTACTTTCTATGTGTGGGCTCCCTTGCAAGTAATCAACGTAGGAATGCATGCTGCTGTATAAACTGCAAGCGTTGGTTGCCAAGCCCCAACTGTCGTTCGCGGGGCTATTATAGTCATTATCTTTGCCTTTATGATATATAATTGTAGCCCAAGATTACGTTTTTTTCTGATTATTATTCATCTTATGCACTTCATTGCCATCATTGCTGAAGAGAGCTACGTGGACGGCCGATCCTACTTTACTACGACCTCAGGAACCCCCCCCCCCTCTCTCTCCTCTCTCTTTCTTTTTTTCTCTCTCTCTCACTATATATATATATATATATATATATATATATATATATATATATATATATATATATATATATATATAGGTTCCTGAGGTGTTTTTCGTTATTTTTTCCTCTTTCTTTATTCGCTGTTTTTTCTTTTCTGTATCTTTTCTGTATTAGACTGTATTTTCTTTTCTGACCCTTTCGACAATTCAATATTTTTTTTTATTTTGTAAAAGCAATATTGCTGCTGAATCATCGCAGATGTTGGCTACGGTAATCATATGCTTCATAAATACTTTACAGTGACTTAAAGGAAAGAACGGTACCTTTAAAAGCTCGCTTTTTTTCGTTAGACACAATATAAATGAGATCTAACAGAGAATTATGCGAAGAAAAGTATAGGGGGTGTTATTAGGAGTAATTGTAATGTAACTGTGAAGAAATAAAAGTGGATGAAAGGAGAACTTGCCTTGGGCAGGAACGGAACCAGTGGCCTTCGAATAATGCGTCGGATGTTTTACCAACTGAGCTACCTCAACAGTTATTCCTTTGTTTTCTTAATGGGGTGCATGTGTGCACTAAACGTGGGAGTGTCGATAAGTGACTTGTTGCTTACAAGACTGACAATACAGTCTACCACGTCCAACACGTATCCAAACCCGCATATATCAATGTAGTTCAGACATGCTTCACGGGTGTGCGAAAATTTCGCAATAATCTTTTACGCCGCTCCTCACGAAGAAATATTTTTGGCTTACGTTAAAGCAGCCTTAGAGGTATAGTAGTCCTCGGTGTATGCTACCACAGAAAGTGCAGTAATCTACGTGAGTTAGTAGCTTGAAAACGCCAAATATTTAAAATTGTGCCAAATATATAATTAAAACCTAATAAATTATGCCTTTTAATATTTGTTTTAGTCACTGTCTTAAAGCCAGCTGCTTTTTCTTGAAGACCCTACTTTATTGATCTCAAAGTTCAGGGCAGTCATCTTAAAACCTGTAAATGCCTGATGATCTCTGCTGTCTTTGCACCAAAAGCGAGACAGCGTAAAACAAACAAGAGGCAACGCTGATCAAGAAAGCACTGACTGCCTTGGCGATGAGATCACTCTCGTCGAATGGTTTTCTTCAAAAATGTTTTTTTTTTTGGTCAGGCAACCTTCATTATTTTATATCTCAGTCTTTCTGTGAACTCATCTCTTGCTCGAATTTCAGACTGTGAAAAAAAAATGAAGTCTAGGTTCCACACTGGGAAAACGAAAATAAACTCTAGATTCCAGACTGTGAAAACAAAAATGAAGTCAAAATTCAAGGCTGTGAAAACAAAAATGTAAATCTGTAATGAACATCGGTACCCGAGCTAGAGGCTAGATGCCCTGGCACTGTTCCCGTCGCAATATTCAAGGCAGAGGCCTGTTTTTTTTTTTTTGTTCCCAAGGGCTCACAAAACACTGATTGCGACCAACAGGTCACTTCTCTAAGAACACCTGAACGTTGCAAAGGGCGACGTTGTTATTCTGACCAGCCTCTAGAACTAACCAAGAACATGTGAACCCCCTTGTACACTGTGACAGATAACAGACAGTTGTGATCAGTGGCGTACAAACTCTTTCGTGTGTGAACAAATTTCACGATGTTGTAACATAGTCTCATAACGATTTCGTTTTCCCGGAAGAACATAATTGAGTGATTACTATTGTGATAAAAAACTAGGCCTTACTTGTTAGTTTCCCCGCGTGCAGCCAAGAGTGACCACTGTCGAAAGTGGGGGGCTCAGCTCCCCTCCCCCCACTTTTATTGGTGCAGGGTGGCTGGCATCCCCCTTGCCCCCCCCCCCCTCCCCAGGTGGATACGCCTATGGGCGTGATGATTCCATATCGCAGCGAAGAATTCAACCTGCTAAAGACAGTTATGATTACTTCTTGCTTCTCAGAAAACTACATTGAAATTATATTCCTTGACCTGCACCATGTTGCGTACATTGAGTTGCGCAGTGCTGGTAGTATACCAGCGGCTGTGGTGGACTGGCACTGTGGGTACAGCGCTCGGTAGCTGACCCAAAGATTTCGGGTTTGAACCCAGCCGGTGGAGGCGAAACGCCGGAGGCCCGTCTAGCTGATTTAGGTGCGCGTTAACAAAACACAGGTAAACGAAATTAACACAGCCTGTACTACGGCGTCTCATAATCATACGGGTGTCCTGGCACGTTCAACGCCGGACATTATTATTATGTTAGTATTAGTCAGTATATGAGCTTTCAGCCTGCCGAGGAATGCAGGTCAGCTGTCACCTTTCTCAATACTATATTAGTTCCGTCTTTGTTTCTGAAGGGCTCGTAAACACGCTTTCTCTTCACATCGGTAATAACGTCATAAACATTTCTCCTGAAGCACGGTTTCTTGGCGTCATCTTAGATACTGAACTAAAATTTCATAAACATGCCGCTTCACTCGTGAAAAAGATCGCGTTTGGAATCAATGTTATCATCAAGACACGTACGTAATTTCCCCCTCACGTCATACTTTCTTTGTATTTTGCCTACATTCACGGTCATATTTCGTATTGTGTATCATCTTGGGCCAACACCTAAATCAGCCACATTGAACAACTGCGGCGACTGCAAAATCAAGAGGTTAGACTAATGACTTTTAAACCATTTTATTCTTCCTGTAGCTCATTGTTTTCAAAGCTTAACATACCAGCATTATGACAATTATTTGACCACAGATTGTCCATAGTAGCTTATAGGCTCATAACGCATGATATTGTCATTGCATGCATTGATCATCATCATTTACCTAACAGCAATATTACACGGTTTTCCTAAAGCAATAATCTTCTTTTACCCTCCGTAAGAACGAACTATGGCAAGTTCATTACTTTGTTTTCAATCATAGCAATTTTGAATTCATTGCCCTTCGAATCATCAGATTCATATTTTCACCTCGCGTAACAAAAAGCATTTTTCTTCAGGAATTAATGGAATCATTTAATTTGTGCATTTAACTGTTGGTAGTTTTCAACAGGCCAATGTGTTTTATATCAGCATTTGCCTTTCTACAACTTACGTAACTGATAAAAAAGTAGTTGCATTTGTCATGTACAGTTCTTTATTTTGCTTTGTTAAAGATTTATCCCCTGCTATTGATAATTTTCATGTGTAAATTTAACAGTAGCATTACCACCATGTTATGTAGTAATTGTATTGCTACTGTTAATTAGGCTGATTAGTCGTTGCTCACAAATGTGCACCTTTTGCTGTACTTTTTTTGTAATTACTCCATTCATCTCTCCATAGGAGGTCCCCCCGTCAGTTTCTATAAAACTTTGGGACCTCTTCCTGACTATTCCAACCATGTAACTGAATGTGAAATATGTAATAAACTTGACTTGACTTGACTTGAAATTCCGAAGGTGCTAGCAGATGTAACACCTTGTATATTCGCTCTGTATATTATTTTAGTTACATGTTACAGCAGAGAGAGAACCTTGAAATAGTTCAAGCAATAACATTATAGGTCTTCGCAACACATCCGATTCAGCTGAATGCTCAACTGGAACAAGACGACGCCCTCACTTAACTCATCTACACGTTTATGGAACGAATGTCCACGGAATGGTGCGTCAACTATACGTTGTCCTAATCGCTTTGGTAGAGTGGGCCGAGCTGTCGCCTGTACGGCAGGAATATGCGCCACGCTTCGACACCGAGACGCTGGCGGTGACAACTTGAAAGGGGAAACCAACGCGAAAATTCTGGCTCTGCTAGTTTTCGTGGAATGGGCGACGAGCGAGAATGTGTGACCCGAATGAAATGCAGGGGGAAGACTGCGACGCGCGCAGCTGGTGTACACACTCACCGGAGCCGGGCTTGTTGCGCAAGTCGCGGTAAAAGAGGTTGTCGCACCCGAAGTCGGAAGCCGTCAAAGCTGGAAAAAGAGGGAACAACAAAACGTCACAAAACTGTAAAAAAAAAAATGCACTGTGTACGACGCGTAAAGAGACCGATGGAACGATTGATACGAGTCAGACGGGAAGAGGCCACCGGGTTACCAGTGTCCCCTTTATGCTCACTCGATATTGAATTAATTTCTACGGAACATAGAAAGATTGGTTTCTCGCGTAAGTAGACATCGGATATTAAAGTTTTTTTTTTTTTTGGCAATGAACGGCCGCTCCCGCCTGCCCTACTATACAGAAAGTAATGTAATTGCCTGTCCAGCCTTTGTATCGAAACTATGCTCTAGGCTCGCGTGGCCACATTAGATCAAATGGTTTCGCTGTGTCTATAAAAATATTGGGTCAACAATGAAATAAATTATCATTCTTCCCGTGTTAACTTGTAATAATGAATATTGATATATTATATAAAATTTGTAAAAAATTTAGGCTGATCTTTCATGGAGAAGCCAGTAACAGAACAACACACATTGATCAGTATCTCTCTGAAATAAATTGTGACATTAAACTCGTACGACGTGGCAGGAAAAAGCTTTGTTTTCTGCACTGAACGTCAATGCTTTACGTTGTCCTTGCTAATATCTGTCGTTGTCGCCTCTCGATGGTGTGTGTGACCGTCATCTCACGGGTTGCAATGCCTCGTTTTTTCTCGTTACGATGTTTATCTCCACATAAAATGCTTATCAAGATGGGTGCAGTAGGCCTATTTTGGGACTGGTGATCCAAACATCTGCAAGGACAGTGCACGCTGTAAGCACATTCATAACTTGCAAGTATACAAATCATTCGTCCACACACAAGAGTTAGTATAAGCAGCACAATCAAGAGTCGAGAGAGCCACTCATCGCTCAAAAGAAGCGGAGCACGCAAGTCATTTCTCGTATATACCTACATATGAAGCACGCATATTTGCGCACAATGCAGACCGTACTGTGTTGAAGAAGCTGCAACGTTCACAAGGTGCGACATGTCATGTCCACGCCACCATTTCGTTGTTATCGTCTTGGTTATTACGGGTAGATGAACCGGAATCAAGTTCATCTACGAGTATACACAATAGTTAAAATGTTGGTTCAACACAATCTTTTTGACGGCCCTGCATTGAAGCTAATATTGTTTACATTGCTCTTGTTTTTTATTTTTATTATGGTTGTGTTCATCGGACCGTATGAACAATGACAGCTGGTAAGAAGACCGCTAAGGGCTAATGACCCCATTTAAATCAGCAAAAATAATAACATTATATCTAAAAGCAACAAAACACGAGAAAAATGCCTGAAAATGATGCCGTCACTAATTTCTGAACAGTCCTACCCCAAAATGTTTCTCTTGGAGAGAGAGACTCTGCGTCGTATTTATTTTCTCCACAAACACTCTGACGGAAAACACAACACCAAGGCTGGACACAAGAGAAGTTACGTGGCCCAATATCTTGCCTAAAGTCTTCGGATTGTGTTTCTTTGAGAGTATCATGTAGCGAAAACTCTTTTCGCAAACTTCAATGCAAGAACTGTCACGGAAAATATATACATCATTTAGTAATATCCGTGGAAGGTGAAATATTCATTCATGACTCTGACTTTCGGGGACTACATGTCGATCTCAACGTGATGGCTGTCTGCATTGGTGAAAATAGAGTGCGCAGCATTTATCTCTCTCCCCGTGGCAAGAACCATAGAGGAGTGGCAAGCAGTGCGGCATAGAACACTTGAATACATTCTATGCCACTGTCAATCATACCAGACTCAACGACGTGGTACGGAAGCCAAGCTCCGCCACGTGGATTCAAGACCACTGACAGAAAGGATCCTGCAGATCTTGGCCTAGGGTTTCGCATATGTGCGAGGCCAGCTGCCACACCCTTTCCCTCCTTCATTTTGAAAATGGATGGATGGATGGATGGATGGATGGATGGATGGATGGATGGATGGATGGATGGATGGATATGGCTGTACCCTTTAGGTCGGGCGGTGGCTAGAGCCACCAAGCCGTTATACTTAATGAACCAAAAACTAGACTTTTTTTAAATAGTGAGGCTGAGGATTCGTACTTTGCAGCGAAGGGTTCAATTTTCACTCGTGCCTTGAATTTAGCCACCGATCAGATAACCTCGTTCTAGTTAATTCTACCCGCTTAAAGTCTATTTTGCCCTCACTCTCCCTGAACTCCAGTGCTTTGAAAAACTCTGCGCCATCAACCTGAACTACAGGGTGAAGCCCTTTACAGAACATTATCAAGTGTTCGGCAGTTTCTTCTTCCTCTCCACATGCACTGCATACTGTGTCTACCACTTCGTATTTGGCCCGATATGTCTTTGTTCGCAATACTCCCGTCCTGGCCTCAAACAGTAGAGAACTACCCCGACTATTATCATATACCCTTTCCTTGGCAATTTCCTGCTTAAAAATTTGGTAGACCTCTAGTGCGGACTTCCTAGTCATTCCAATTCTCCACATATCGGTCTCAGCTTCCTTCACCTTCTTCTTACCCGATAATTATTTTTGGTTTGGCCCCTGCTGTTTTCTAAGTATTTACCAGTCAATTTTCTGGTTCGCTTCCTCCATTTTGTATCAGCATTCTTTATGTACAAGTAGCTGAATACCTTCCTAGCCCAACGCGCCTCCCCTATTTCTCTCAATCGCTTCTCAAATTTTATCTTGCTGCTAGCTTCCCTGCCCTCAAATGATGTCCATCCCATATCACCTTGTACTCCCTGATTTGGTGTATTCCCGTGAGCTCCTAAGCCAAGCCTACCTATTCCACGTTGCTTAATTTCTAATCTTGCTTGAACTTCTGATCTCATGCACAAGACCGCATTGCCGAACGTCAGTCCAGGAACCATGGCGCCTTTCTGTATTCCTCTCTCAACATCATACCTATTGTAATTCCACAGTGCCCTGTTTTTCATTACCACTGCATTTTCTGTTACCTTTAGTCGTCACGTATATTTCGTGTTCCCTTAAGTACTCGGCCCCATTGCTTATGCATACGCCCAGATATTTGTATTTATCTGTTATCTCTAACGTGAACTCCTGTATTCTAAGCTCACTACCTTCATTGCCATTAAAAATCATGACTGCTGATTTTTCCTTACTGAATCTGAAATCTAACCTATCTTTCTCATTACCGCAGATGTCCATCAATCTCTGCAAATCTTCCTTGTCGGTCATTAGCACTATATGATCTCCACGAAGCACTATATCATCACCATGAAGCGCCACCTGGCGTGTCAAGGCATCGAAATGCCTAAAGCGAAACTGCATCCAGCTGAGGTGCCCCACGGAACTGGAGCGTAACCACATCCCCTGCTGCCCGTCCTCGCCATCCGCGTGCACACGCTTTCCACCACATGAGATGCGGGTAGCGTAAAAAACTGTGGGTGAGGAGTGCATGAAATTGAAGAGTGCAAACAAGGAGGAAGTGGTAAAATGTATTGGCTATTTCACTCTTTGAACGGGCATGTCCACCAAAGCAGTGTAGCGCAGTAATTGATTGATTGATTGATTGATTGGTTCATTAAGTCATTCTGCTTTCTTGATAAGCTAAAATTGTTATTTCGTTTTTTATTTGTAAGTTTACCTATATTTTTTATTGACTTATGGATTTCTTTATTTTCTTCATGACGTCTTCATCTATCTATCTATCTATCTATCTATCTATCTATCTATCTATCTATCTATCTATCTATCTATCTATCTATCTATCTATCTATCTATCTATCTATCTATCTATCTATCTATCTATCTATCTATCTATCTATCTATCTATCTATCTATCTATCTATCTATCTATCTATCTATCTATCTATCTATCTATCTATCTATCTATCTATCTATCTATCTATCTATCTATCTATCTATCTATCTATCTATCTATCTATCTATCTATCTATCTCTATCTATCTATCTATCTATCTATCTATCTATCTATCTATCTATCTATCTATCTATCTATTTATCTATCTATTCATGCCTCCTCACAGGCTGGTTAAGGAAGGTATGACTCTATGCCGAAAGAGACTGCCAGGTGATATGAAAAAACTTTACGTCCAGTTCACGTACGTAGTGAAACCCTTTCCCACCGTGACGTGTTTGCTGCAGCCGCATAACATGGCCGATGCTATGCGCTTCGCATATTTCGCAGTTTCCGTTAGACCAGGACAGCGAAAATAGAGATTAAGAACTTTATAAGACACTTTGTGTGGGTTAAGCATGAGGGATACGGTTCGGTACAGTCTGCAGTTTTAGTGTAACACAAAAACTCTTACGTGTACTCCTATATACGATATGAAAAGCGTTTCCCGTCCGCGCAAAAATGCGCTAAAGAACGGTTTTCAATCTTAGATTACATTTGTGGGGTTTAACGTCCCAAAACCACCATATGATTATGAGAGAGGCCGTAGTGGAGGGCTCCGGAAATTTTGACCACCTGGGGTTTTTTAACGTGCACCCAAATCTGAGTACACGGGCCTACAACATTTCCGCCTCCATCGGAAATGCAGCCGCCACAGCCGGGATACGGTTTTCAATCTTGGTTTCAATGAAAGTGACGTCTGTGTTGTAATTTGCCTACCAGTGTTACTTCGCTCAATGAGTTACCCTTTACGCTCCAAGTGCAGTGAACGTGCTCAGCAAGCCCACGCTACGCACATGACTGTCAGATTACGCATTATACGTCGATCCGCATAAGAAGACCTGGTTCAAAGTGTGGTATTAGCAGCTACACGCTGATGGTCTCGCATGATATCAGTCCCCACAGTGCGTGGGTTCTGCCAAATGTTTTCTTGTCTTGTTCGTTGTTCCGCAACTTTAAGAAATGCTGAGCAGTGCATGCACATGATGTAAATTGGTGTATATAAACACAAGGTGCCATCCTAACGGACACTCGACAGTGTAACAGCCCCATCGCTTGGGCTCGTACCCCCGAGTGGCCCGTACGTCGACAAACACATTCATAAGTTGACTCGTTC